GGGGGCGGGGGCGGGGGCGGGGGCGGGGGGGTCAAAGCATCAGGATTGCCTGGTGCCTCTTGGGCAGAGCTCCAGCCTGGTGCCTTATTCCTGCCCCTGTTGGGGAGCCAGGTTTGCCCTAAGCTCCCTGTGGGTCTTGGGCAAGTCTTCCTGCCCTTCATGGCCAGAGCCACCCCCCACTGCCCATGAGCCCTGCTTGACACTGCCTCTATGGCTCCCAGCCTGCTTTGTTCGCCAGGCGGTGGCAGGGCTGCAGTGGTGCTGACACTGGAGGAGGGAGGGGGCTCTTATCCCAGGTTGCAGCTTCACTGCCCCTGACTGTCCTGCAGTGTGGGGCTCCCCAGTGAGTGCACCCTGCAGCCCAGCAGGTCCCAAGGTGGGGTGGGGGGAATGCCCATCCCGTGTTTGGCAGAGGGGGGAAGCCAGAAGTGGAGGCTTTATTCCCTTGTCCCAGCTGGGAGCTGGGTCAATTCCCCAGCAGAGGAGGGGGTAAGGCAGGGGAATCCACCCCATTCTTGGTTTCTGGGGATGGAAAAGTCCCTGCTGGCAACTGAGGGCATGGCCAGCCCTGCTCCACTGGAGCAGAGAGCACAGCCCAGGGCTGAAAAGCATGCCGGGATGCTGGGGGACTGTGATTTAACTTAAACCAGGAAAAGATCTGGGACAGAAGTTCCATACACCACTTTGACCCAAATCAGTCTGGTATTACATTCAACCAGGTTTATCTTAAACCAGTTTTTGGGTATTTTGAAACTCTTTTATGAACATTGAACTTAGGTTTTGTTACAGGTTTAAACCAGTTTCTGATCACTTAAAGTGGTTCATGCGCAACTTCTGTCCCTAGCCATGATCACCCTATCCAGAAGGGGATGGCAGCCCTGCTTGGCAATGAGGTGCAGATGAGGGGAATCAAAGCTCTGTGTGGATTCCCAGCTGGGAGTGTTTAAAAAAGCTCCTAGCTGAGAGAGGAGGGAGAGTTGAAGAATCTTTGAGGCCTGAGCCAAAAGGACAAGCTTACTGTTTTTTGATTTCCTGTGTTGAATGTAGTGGGCAGAGTGGCCTGAATTTTTGTGTTATAGGAAGATCCCAAATAAAGGGCCTGGTTTTGTTGAACCCTTAGAGGTGTGGCTGTGACTTGAAATAAATGGCCTGTCAGAAGACACAGCAGCTCACACTTACATTTTCAAAATGTCAGTGTATTGACAATATCACACTGGAGGACTTCTCCCTTTGGGATTTTCCTTTGTAACAAACTTTATAACATGCAGCAACTCTACATTTTAGCTCTAAT